CAGGAAGAGCAGGAGCAGGTATATTACCCCAGTTTTCCATACAGGCTTGACACTGGAGTTCATTGAGCAATGTCACCATTTTCCAGGGTCCACTGACTTTCAATGTTCAACTTGAGATCCATGACTGACCTTTTGCAGCAGACATTTTTAGAGCAGTTCACAAGCTGCAAGTTCTTGCAGATGTGTCAGTTTTCCATTTGAAAAAAAGAGTAAAGCCGATTATTTTGGGGTAGGGGTCATTGTCACTGACTCACCTCTGGCAAGAGAGAACCCTCAAGAACCGATTTAAGTGACAATGCTTTGCTAACTAAGGGGACAGACATCATTGCTCCTGCATGTCAGATATAATAAGCACTTGCAATATCTGCAAATCAAGTGCCACCTCCATCAGGCTGGGGAAGATGGAAAAACAAGCCCATACCAACAGCCACATGAAAAAATTTTGAAGGTGTTCATCACTGCACAGGAGATAATATGGCTGTTCTAGCTTACAGATAAAAAAAAAAGGGGGATACTGCTGTATACCCTCTCCGTCCAACATCCTTTGCCAACGGTACCTTTCTCATGTTCTCATCTACCTCCGGTACTTACAGGCACACAGGCTTTCAGCTTGTGTGGGAAGTCTAGTTGAACACGTCTGATAGCTGGGCAGCTCCAGTCTTCTCTCAGTATTCTACCACCTCTCTCCACTCAGTTATTCCCATTCTTTACAGATTACAATTTCCATCAGCACATTTTATAAAGCAAATTAGGAACACAAAGCTACGTGACTCAAACTTTTGTCTTTGATAATTTCCACAATTATACAGTACCATCTCCTCCATACTGCAGCAAACATTCTTAAATAACACAATCTGCTGCCTGCAGTGGTTTGATACAAGCCTGATCTTCCAGGTCTTGGTTTTTAGAAAAATTAAAATTGTCAGTGCATATAAATATGGGGTATGTTTCCTCCACAAATCTGAAGACAGCGTGGCAGTATGATCGACTCAGCCAGGCAACACGTGACAGGGACCATGCTCAGTTTCTCAGTTCCATTAAAGGAACAATCACTAAACAACAGTACCACTGTTTTAAAACTTAACAACAAACTCAAAACCTACTTACTAGGGTTTCTTAGGCTACAGAATGATAAACCCCACATTTTAATAGCCATCAGTTACTCCTCACTCAGACTCACACTGTAACAAGACCTAGAACTTCTGCTGTGTGCTGGACCAGCGGGAACAGCACAAACATGAGCTCCAGCAACAGGCATGTCTGTGGTGCTTGGGGCAGCCTGCAGTCACACAGCACATTGCATTTACTCTCCTCAAACAGAAATTTGATTTTTTTGGCCAAACTTACTCATATTCAGGACATTAACCACTGAGTAAGCAGCAAGGCAATTTGTTTTCAAGTCCTGTTTATTTCAAACTTTGTCAATGATCCATCTTGTTTCAGACCTTAAGAGGGGGTTTTTTTGGTTGTTTGTTTGTTTGTTTTTAAATAATATTTAAGGAAAAAAGTCCAAATGCACAGCTTGAAATCATCCAACAATACCCAGTCAGTCACTTCAGTGACAAACCAGACACTCACTAAATGAAAGTGTCTTTACTAATCCTGCAATGCTGACCAGTGATTCTGTTATTCTGTTAGAAACCCAACAAGACCAACAGCTGAATGAAAGTTCAGAGGCTACAGAATGAACAGTACTAAGACATTTTAAATTAGAATTGTTGAAAAATGCTGTCATCCTCTGCATGTTCAGTTAACAAGAAGGATACCAGTTTACTCCTCAGAGTTATTCCATGGAACATAAAACCATGTAAGATTTATCTTGTCTTTGTCTTCCATGTCATTTTAGTTTGAAGAAAAAGTTTTAACATTGCAAAGATATTTCACTTACGTCATCATAAAAATTTCCTACCACTAACCTAAGCCTTCTACCAGTTTTTTAGTAGGACATCATGTTAACACTCCTTAAAAAAAAGGGGCACCCAACCTGCTTATCTAGAGAGACTTACCTTCCTTTCAGGAGCTAGAGATGTACCATGAAGCAAGTAAAAGCAATTTAGTTTCAGCTCAGAGACTGTAAACTCCCCTAACTGAACTGGGACAACATACTCTTGAGTCTGTAAATCAGGCAGCATATTACCTTATTTACATTAAATAATACTCCTACAGCTGCAAGAATTTGGGAGCTGCTGCCTCAAAATTTAATAAAAGGACGTATTTCATATCAAAAGGATTACATTAAGCACAGACAGTTTGCAGTGCAAGGAAGACTTAGATTAAGTTCTTGTAATCTTCCAGTCAAATTGGAAATTACAGAGGGAAGTAACACTTGGTTTAACTTGACAATGGAAACACCACAGTAACAAAAAATATTTTTGCAAGCAAACTCATGACAAGCAACTATTCTTCCCCAGTATTTTAACAAGCTTCATTGTCTTTCCCTCTTGCTCTTTTAAGCATACAACCCAATAACAATCCCTTATGCTGTCGGCAGTGTCTGGAGAGGACCTCCGAAATATGACTGTTCTTAAGCTTCCCAGCTGAATTTTTTTATGAATGGGATAATGGGCATTTGCTTAAATTCAGACTTCAAGTGCTTTACTCTCAGATTTTTGAATGCTCTTTCCCAAAGAAAGTCCAGACTGGAAAACCCCTACTTTGATAAGAGATGGCTATATGGAGCTCATATGCAACCTAACAAATAATCACACTGACATTTTACAGAGATGACCAGTTACAATTAAAACAATCAGTCTGGCTTTAATTTTAATTGGTTGTTTCATTTGAAAACCCTGGTTTATTGCTACATGTGGCTGGCACTTGCCTTGCAGAGAAAGCCATCTTAGATTATGGAACATTTGGGGCTTCGCACTTTTTGCGATAGTAAAGAGTGTTATTAACTACTTGTTAACTACTGTGTAGGAGAACCTCTTTAATTAGTGTTTTAATTGGTTCAATAGAATTGGCAAAATCAAGCCAAACATTGGAATCAGTAAGCCAGACACCAATTCTTAGTTCTGTTACTTTCTATGTTTCTCACAGAGTAGTACGAGATTCTTGTGAACAAATAAATACATAGTCATACTTTTACATGTGTGCCTTCAGATCAATTCAAGGTACCAGAAATGCAAGGGACAACTTTGTATAGAGAGTATATGTACACACAGAGTTATAACCATATATACATACATATACATGTACGTATATATGTATGTTATTGCCTATAGGTATAGAAGTAGTTCACCAGCCTTAACTTTTAGGAGCTCAGCAATTTAACTTCCAAGCCTGACCTAGCCATTCCAATCACTTCCAGTTCTTGCAAAGTGATGACCACACATTGTCTAATCTTCCAAGACAAATCCTTTCTCTCCAATCCTCTCCAAGCTATCTTCACTCATATTCACCCTTTTTGTAACATTTACTTTCTTAGCTAAGCCCTGTTCCTCCACCTATCCCATCCTACTCCGAACTTCAAATTTCACTTAACCCTTGTTTCTTTTATTACAGTTAATTCCCTCTTCCCCCCACTGGGGTTTTGGTCATTGCCACCTCTCATTCTCCAACAGCTGCCATTCTTTGACCTCTTCATCTTTCAACTTTTTTCCATCTCTTTTCCCCACTTGTCATTAGACCTGATAACTTTCTACCTGAGGAAGGTGACAGGTAACATGAACATATAACACACAATTCTCGCCTTCTGAAAACAAAGGTGGAAAAAAAAGTTGTTTAGAAGTATCAGATTTCAGCAATTCTGCAAAGAGTGCCAACTGCACAATACCTGTGACCAAACATGCAAAGAAAAAAGACTTTTCTGAGTGTCTAGGTAGAACAGATATAGCTACACTTCACAACTCTTAAATGAAACTAAAAACTGAACAGAATTTAATGTGATTTCTATGTCATTCATCATTAGTAGCCAATCCAATCAAAGAACATGTTGCAAGTTACCCTTTTCCCCCCCAACGCCTCCAGTACACAGATAGTTTTGTTTTGGAACTCTGCTGTAACAGTTTCACTCTTCAGCTTCAGTTCTTAGTACTGCAGAAATGAATTCTAAAATGCTTGATAAATACACATTAAAAAGGGACAATGGATTACTAACCTCCTTAATGGAGTCTTCATTAGGCAGCATCGAACACACACATGTGATGTAGGCTTGGCGAAAAGATGAAACATTTGCAATTTCTGGAGAATCTGCACACAATTTTGACAAGAAAGTAGCTTGTGGGATGCAGTTTGACTTCATCAAATGTTTTATTCGCATCTGCAGAAAGGAAGGCCCTTCTCGTGTAATCAATTTATTAGCTAGGAAAAGAAAAAAAGCCTTTGAGAATACACCAATTTACAGCTGACACTCAACTGAAATTGTCTCACTGCATTCACACTTTATTTTATTACAAACTTGTATAAGTATGGCCAGCTTTCTCAGAAAACTCTAGGTATGATAAAATTAACAGCAATAGATGGAATATTTTCTCCCAAACAAATTCAGACCAACTATGTAGGGAGCAAATGCTGAGCTACAGAAAAGACCACCCCCTTCCCCCAACCAAAAGACAGCATCCATTAACACAATAAAGAAGTATGCCAACAGCAGTGGCTAAAGGACACTGGTAAGACCATGTAGTATATTGAACAAGATACCAGTAGTTTAGCTGATTCAAAGTCTTCTACTTCTAACTGTAGCTTCATATTCTAAAGAATCAAAAATATTTCAAAGCAAGCATTACATACTTTTCAACCAGAGATTTTTCCACCCAAGTTGTTAAATTCCTACATAATGCCAAAATATACAAAATCAAGTTGAGGGTGATAATGTTATCTTTGTGGTACTTTGGAAGAATTGTGTTTAAGACATGCTAGGCTTATGCTGTAGATCAACCAAATACAACTAATCATTATGAGATTTGATGAACCAATTCAATAGTAAAAATGTAACTTCAGATTATTTTTGTAAGTAGTTAGCAAAATTTACTCAATCTGATTAAAAACCTCACAGATTTAGTTTGATTCTCTTCCCAGGTATTTTTCTGATTCTCTTCCCAGGTATTTATCATAGAATCAGAGAATAGCTCAAGTTCAAAGAGACCCATAACTATCACAGAGTCCAAGTCCCTGCTCCTCGCAGGACTACCTAAAACTCAACCATATGACTAAGAGCATTGTCCAGGTGCTTCCTGAACTCTGACAGGCTCGGTGCCATGACCACTTCCCTGGAGAGCCTGTTCCAGGGACCAACCACCCTCTCACCTTTTCCTAATGTCCAATTCTGAACATGCCCTGTCACAGCTTCATTCCATTTCCTCCTGTCCTATCACTGGTCATCCCAAAGAGATCAGCACCTCCCCCTCCGCTGCCCCCTTGAGGAAGGTGTAGACCACATCCCTCAGCCTTCTCCCCAAGCCAAACCAAGTGACCTCAGCTGCTCCTCATTAAGTCTTGCCCTCAAGGCCTTTCACCATCTTGGTCGCCCTCCTCTGGACACACTCTAACAGTTTGATGTCCTTCTTATACTGAGGTACCCAAAACCGCACACAGTACTCTAGGTGGGGCCACACCAGGGCAGTGTAGATTGTAGACAACCACCTCTCTTGACCAGCTAGCTATGCTGTGCCTGATGCACCCCAGGACATGGTTGGCCCCTCTGGCTGCCAGGGCATGCTTGTTGACTCCTATTCAACTTGCCATCAACCTAAACCCCCAGAGCTCTTTCCGCAGCGCTGCTCTCCAGCCTCTCATCCCCCAATTTGTACATACAACCAGGATCACCCCATTCCAGGTGGAGAATCCAGCACTTGCCCTTGTTAAATTTCATATGGTTGGTGATTGCCCAGCTTTCTAGTCTATCCAGATCTCTCTAAGGCCTCTCTATCCTCGAGGGAGTCCACAGCTCCTCCTAATGTAGTATCATTAGCAAACTTACTTAATGTACATTCAACTCCTGCACCTAGATCGTTTATAAAAAACATTAAAGAGCACGGGCCCTAAAACTGAGCCTGGGGGAACCCCACTGGTGACTGGCTGCCAGCCTGGTGTAACTCATTTACTGTAACTCCTTCAGCCTGATGCATCAGCTAATTGCTCACCCAATGTATTATGGACTTGTCTAGCTGTATGCTGGACATTTTATCCAGAGGGATACTGTGAGAGACAGCATCAAAAGCTTTGCTAAAGTACATGCACTTTGCCTTAGCTGACGAAATAGTATGCTTCAAGACAGGTGTGGTGCTATTTCCAGTTTAACATAAACATCTACAGAAAGTCTTGATACTAGTCTCCAGATTTGTACATATTTCAAAAGACCCTTGAGAATTAAGAGGAGTCAATACACTCTTATACTGCATACATACATATCACGTATCAACCAAGGAACAGTCTGATGATTTGTAGAAGATATTATGAAAATGCCTGAGACATTCTGATAAAACACGTATTGGAACCAGTGTTCTGCAGCAGCTGTAGTCAAACAGCTATCTGTAAAGCCTGCAAAAGACCCCGGATTAGTCCAAAAAGAAAGTCTGCTTTAGAATAACAAATTATTGGAAGAGCCATTGCATAAAAATATTTTCACTATGTTAGTATCTTATTATTACTATGTGAGATGGGTAGCTAAGAAACCAATAGTATACAAATTTCTGAAAGAAGATTGTACGTAGTAGAAAATAAGAAATTTCTCATGCTTTCTGCACTTAAATTATTGTCCAACAGAAAAATAACATGTTCTAACAGACAGTACACTGGTCGGCAGAAGGCTTACAATGTGCACCTAAACAGAAAACTAATTTCAGGGGCCAAGTACGTACTACATGCTTGTCATGAGACTTACTAGTATTCTGCAGAAGTTTGCTTAGTGGCCCATTAGAGGTCATTTTAAGATTCAAGTCTATGGTACCGGTTTCCATTTTTCACAGGAAAAACCTCTGAGCAGTAAGCTCTTGACATAGCTAGCACTGACACTTCACATTAAAGTAACTTCAATGGAGAAGGTAAAACAAGCTGGCTGACCAAGAGACAGCTTGCAGTAAGGTCTCCAGTTGCTAGGAAACAAGCTCCCTCTCTTTCTTAAAAATTACATCTGCATATGACACTGTGCTTGAAAATTTATCAAGGAAAACTAACAGTACTTCAATATCCATCCTATTTGATGTAAGAGACTGCTACCACAACAAGGTGGCCAAGACATCACTGTTAATGAAGAACTCTAAGAAAGCTTGCTTACTCAACATCTGAACAAAGTCATCTATCCACGTGAAGCATACTATTCATGGGCATGTCAGTAATGGTTTTTAGTGTCCACAAGCATTCAAAACACTTTTGTAGTCCCTGTTTCTGCAGTTCTTAGCTCACAAAATAATTAAAAATTTTTTTCAGGTCCATGAGAAGAATAGAAGAAATACTAGGAAAAAATAAGATATTCCATTTACGTGCCCTAAGAATGATTTAGATTCCTCTTGCTTCTTATTACATAGCTAGACACACACTTAGCAGTTACTCAGATGAAGTTTTTACTGACACGTCAGAGCCAGCTAGGCAAGACATGGGAAGTGTTTTAAAGAGTACCTGCAGTCAGCCAGACAAATTCAATGTTTTCAGGTTAACAGTCACACTTTTAAGTACAGATGAAACTTGCTAATGAAATAAAGGAGGTGGACTCACTGCTGGTATGCACAAGAGGGTCTCAACTTACTGCAATCTTTGGGAGTGGCCATGTGCACACACACCCCACGCCCCCGCCAAGGTCTGTGCCCCTGGGCAGATTCCTCCACACCTAAGGGAGTGTGTACTGAACTCTGCAAAGGAGGCAAATGACAAACTGAGTACCTGTGCCATGTAGGTGTAACTGATGAAGGTAGGAATAAAAGTCAGAAATAACTCACTAGTCAGACATCTGTCTTAGCACCTGTTTTCCTCTGAAGCATCTATTCTTTTCCAGCAGCCTGCCTGCAACAACCTCCCTTTCCCTGAAGAAGGAACAAAAACTCATTTTGCTGCCTATTCCTCAGAACAGTTTTCCCCTCAGAGAACCTAATTTTGTACTCAATCCTAAATCTGTTATGTTTTCAAACATGTCAATTAACATATTTTCTTGTTCCTTCTCTTCCTAGACCTCCTGCTGTTGTCTGTTCTGACCCAGTGTTCTACCAAGCATCTCAGGACTAAACCAGCTTGCTATAAAAATCAATGCAACCTTGCAACCTTTCCCTCCTCCAAACCCTGTAGAGTAGTAAAGGGTCAGTGCAGTTTCAAACTCTACATGTATCTCTTATCCCAGGACAAAAAAGTAGGCTAAAAGATTCCCCTCTCACCCAAAACATTTGCAGTATAAAGTGAATTTAAGTTATACCACAATATTGTGAACACAGCCTTTATAAAGCATGGATGGCACTAAGGCATCAAAAGACTCTGCGGTCACTATAAGAAATGTTCAAGAGAAACAGCATCTTGGGTGAGCATTTCCTCTAAAAGTACCTCCGGAACAAGACAACAATGTGCTAAAGCGCAGTAAAGTATGTTAAGTATGCATGAACGACACTGAGATCCCTATATTTTACAATAGCAGTGTGGTGGAGACTTTTCCCAGCTTTCTTACAAATCAACTCATGTCAACAGAGACATACCGCGGTGCTGATATTCATCTGCTGCATGCAGCAACGAGCTCACCCTAACCTCTTTGTTCTTCCTGAATGATACTATTTGTCAAGCAAAAAAAAAACCCCAAAACCCACCTTGAAATAAGAGTATTAAAGCTAGCTTCCTTAGGCATAGAAGAATGCTGGAGGTCAAGACTGCTAAACAACATCTATTAATGTTCACTTTGGGGTGCTCATATCATTCAGTCATCTAAAAGGCATAAGCACCAATGACTTTTTGCAGCCCTTTCCTCAAGTAAATATTCATGCCCAAAACAACCACCTTGAGCCAGCTGACAGTACAAACCAGCAACGACCACCCTAGACACATGGCAGTTTATTAACAGCCACAGAAGCAGACAGAACCTAAGCTGCTATGATACTTTTGCTGCAACAAACTTGGTAAGCCATATTTACAGTTGATGTCAGTTCCTTTTCAGGGCCTTCCTTTTCTTTAAAAAAAAAAAGAAAAAATTAAGAACTCTAATCAAGAGAGGCAAGAACATGTCACATTTTCAGGATCTTCGATTCAGGTCAGCATCTGATGATCATTAACATGAACTACCAGTTCACAAAACAAAGCTCCAGCTGGGCACATTGAGCTACGCTCACATCTGGCTTACTTACCAGTGGCCCACAACAGCGAAAACCAGGAATGCTTTTCAGACACACACCACAAAGTCAAAAAGCATGAAATACAAGCTATTCAAAGAAACTAAGTTTTAGATGACTGAAATAGCATCCATTTACAACAACACTTCAGAACATACTCTCTGAAACTGTTGTTGTACTGAAGGATAAAATGGCAGTTTGACTAAAACAACTGAAAACTCATTGTGCTAAAGCTCTTTCTGCAGCCCTTACTCAACATGCGTAACAGCAGAACTGTCATCCCTCCTGTGACCTGCAGAAGGTGCATTTTGATTCCTGCTATTTCTATCAAATGGATCCTGGTAGGAGACAACATCACACCAATCAGAGTGACACAAGCAAAAGAAGGAAGACAAACCTGGTAACTAAGCAGTGACCTACGATCTCCTATTACAGCTACAAGCATTTACTTGATATGATTCTGAAAGTAAAGAAGGATTGAGTTAATCCAGTAGACATTTAGAGATAGTTGCAGCACAAGGCCAAAAGAGTAATTCCAGCTACCCAAACAGACCTTCTGCAATCCAAACAATGTTACAGCAGCATCTGACTTCCTGGCACAGAGAAAAGAAGGGATTGAACAAAGAAATGGAAGTAAAACACAACCAGCAAGATTTTACTCATCATAACACATGGCATGACATAGCTTCATGGATCAGTTGGTATTTCAGCAATACCTTCTGTAGTCACTGAATTACACTTGTCTGATGATGTCAAGAAGATAAACCAGTTACATTAGGAGCAAAATTTAGGAGTCAAAAGGTTTTCCACGCCATTATTTGTTGGCATAGAGAGCAGGATTTCTTTAAGTTTTCATTTTGCCTCGCACCAGAGTGTAGGGTATGCAAGTCTGGCACATTCTTCTTGCCTTCTGAGAAAAAAAAGTAAACTTTACATATGCCTACAATCTACTTCTCTCTTCCTGTAACATTTTAGAGTTTTATGACTCACAGCGACTCATGATATATGCATTATTTTGATTTCTTTGAAGTGTTATTGAATAGCTGGCAACAATTACAAGAGACTGAATCCTATGCCCTACGATGTCTTTCCCAGTCTTATGTTCTCTCCTACAATACCCTGCAAATCTGCAATACCTGTTCAACATGCTCTTAGTCTCCCAAGAGGTTAAGAACAAACCCAACCAAATAAAAACCCCTCCATCCTCTGTAATGTAAGGGCACAGAATTATTTAACTACTGAAGCATTACTTTATAGTATTTGTAGCTATTAAATATCACCATTCCTCCCTTGCTATTTTCCCATTTCCATTACCAATAATGCTACTACTTTGATCTACCACTTTGACAGTATTTGCTGCAAACCAGAATGGCAGGAACAGGAAGGCACTCTCACATGGTGCTCTCGCTGTCTTTCTACATGTTGACAGACACCACATGAACTCTACTACTACTTACTGTTTCCTGCATTGTCAGTTGAAAGCACTCAACCAGCACCTAAAACATCTTGCTTGGGTGCTAAGATGACACATTCAGATTGCTTGGAAAGCTTGTAGAAAGATCTTTTAGATATGTCTAAGCAGCTATGTTGCATGTCAAAGGGCCACAAGGATGACACTTTTTTCAGTTTATCTGCTGTTCAATACCCTGAAAGCAAGCAAAAAACCAAACCAAACCGAGGTTTCCAAGATTGCCACAAAAGCAAGACACTTGGTAAGAAGCGACATTTTTGGCTTCTTAGAACTGCCCTTTATTTAAATGTCTAACTCTTTACCTTACAATTTACTTGAGAAACCTGCCTTTGACAGACTGGTCTAACAAGGTCACATTCAAACTGCTTAAATATGCCTGTGGACTACTGCAGACTATATGAGAATGCACATACGCAGTTAGAAAATTTCCAGAAGAGCTCCAGTGAACGTCCTGTTGCCTCTGCTTGTATCACATGAAAGAAACGCCAGAGGACAACTCTTCCAGGTATGTATTCCGATCTAGCTAAACAGACAAATATGTACTAAATAAAGAACACTAAGAAATCAGTAGTTTCAGGGTTGCCAAATGACCTCAGAAATGGGAACCTACACTCAGCCCCATTCAACACGGTCAGAGATGTGTCAGACAGTCAGTTTGCCAGCAGAAACTTCAGCCCAAATTAAAAGCCAAAGGACCGAACAAACTAGGTTATCCTATTACTGCTGAAGTCAAGAGGTAGTCTGAACCATGTCAAGGTCCTCCTGCACAGGAATGAAGAAGTGTAGCAGCATTTAGTAATATAGCCATTGATAAAAGCAGTCATGTGTGTAAGAAGCAAATGAATCTATAATGGAGTCCACACAGATACATGGAAGGAAATCACTCCTACTCAAATTCACACTAGTCCTCCAGAACAGCTCTTGGCTTGCCACAGGTAAAGGGAGTTTGCAAAGCTAGCTAACCATTAGCCCTCACTGGTATACCACTCTCCGAGTAAGGGATTCTTCAATAGCTGAAGATTTTCAGTAATATGGACCAATTTTGAAATGCAAGTCATTTTGAATAGAAATACACTAAGAGCAATCACACAACTTGACGAACAACACTATAAATGAAAGACTCCAAGACAGGACATTAGTATGGAATGCAATTCTTTTCAAGACATGTTGGAGATGGGATTAAATGCTGTTTGGAGTTCAAATATTTCTGCCATACTATTGAATACCTGGAGTGAAGGCTAGCAAAGACTGCAGTCCACCCTTGGCTGCTTTTTTTAACACTTTCTAGCACAGGGAAACAACATATCCTCTCGGTAACCTTAACGTGTTTCTCATTTCTTTATTAAAAAGTACTAACTTAACACAACTCAAAGAGAGGCTACCCAAAGCCAGAAAGAAGGATTCTACTATGGAAGAAAGCTAGACTTAAAATCCCTTTTTGTGCTCCTTTGATTCTTAAGAAAATATTTTAAGCTCTTCTTCCCCTCTATTTTTAACTTTATTAACTTTCCCCACTGAGGTAAACTGCAGTCTCGTGTACTGTTAATGGAACAGTTAAAAGAAATACCTGTAAGTACTTAATACTACCACTAATAGATATGAAAAAAGTTCAGTGAGTAAGAGAGTTTAAGAGAAGACATTCAAAAATTACATAAGTGACGCTACCTCTCAACATTTCCTCACCTCAACATTTTCTGATTCAAGATCTTATTTCCGATTCAAGATCTTATTTCCATAGTCTAAACACAATGAGCTTCCCAGCCCAGAGCTTAATAAAAGTAAGCCTCCACACTCATGCTGCCCCTCCACATGCATCTTTCATGCTTCTGAAAGGTGTGGACATACACAATTCCTCCCTGTGAAGCATTCAGGAAAACATTTAAAAGCACAGAGTTATGAAGAACAAACCACCTCAGGGAGAAAAATTCCCATGTTTTTATGATGGAAAAAGAAATAATTCTTTTTAAAAATGGAGTTTCAAAATATTCAAACTGATGGATAGTATAGACCAAGCAGAGATGCATTAGCAAGGACACATTATTCAGAGTGCCATTGAGACTGTTTCATCATAAATACCATTTAGCAACATAAGAATACTACTGCACAACGCAATTTAAAATACAACTCTCTTCTAACTTCAAATCACTGGTTCCCCAATTGAAACTGCACCAAGTAATTTCTTAATAACCACATATAATCTCTAAATCACATTCTTACCTTCCTCAGTTTCTACTGGTTGCTGGGATAGAATTTTAAGAAGAACTGGATTTTTCCATACTCCTTCCCTTGTGATATCCACCAATATTTGGAGGTTGTTATTCCCAAATTCCAGTAAAGCATCATGTGAATCCTACAAAACGTAAAAGAAGTCATTAAAAGCCTTTGCTAGAAATTAAATCTATGTAATTTTACATTATCTGTCCTAATACTTGACTGTATTCTAATGATTTCACACCATTCTAAGTCATTACTGTTTTGACATGTTTGCATCAGGATTTTAACAGTACAATGTCCTTTCACTTCGCTAATCCTACAGCAAAACTTCCCAATTTCAAAGTACTCAAAGTTAACTGAAACTCCATAACTCAAAAAGCCTATTCTGCAGTTGTAACTCTTCTGCAATTTTTATGTTTCTCCATGTACATATAAATAAAATTACAGAAATTACTGTATAAAAGACAAAGGATGATTTTGTATCAAAGCATTCAGTGCCATTTAAGAAACTGGAATGAAGTTTTCAAAATGAGTAACAAAACACCTAGAGTGTAAAATTTTAATGTTAACACTAGTGAGATGAGCCACTCAATTCACTTCTCTGAGAATTACTAAAGCTGTCACTCACTAGTCTGAGGAAAGTGAAACGGGAAGGAAACATCCTTAAGCTACATAAGAGGAGTACTGGGCAGAGGCTCAGGAAGGACTCTCATCTACTGAAAGGGTGAGGTTGGGGTCATATGAAGATGCAGGTTTCCTGGTGGTTAGAGGTGCAAGAAGTCTCAGGGAACTTCAGAGAAAGCAGAGCACAACACACACAGCAGAGACTACAGTACAACACTCACAATCCAGACCAAACCAGATCATGAATAATTTCCTTTATTAAGATGAAAACCTCCTCCTTCTGGATACAGATACACCATTTCCTTAGAAACTAATCCATGTCCAGTCCATTTACTGTAAGATCCAGGGATTTCTGATCCTGACAGTTTTGGTGCTGTGAAGGCTGACCCAGAGACCCTCCACACTGAACAGGGCTCCAACTGAAGTTCATCCATCAAACCTGTACACATAGCACAATACTCAGAGTGATCAAGGCCCTACTACTTTTAATCCTGGAAAACTGAGGAGTGAAGGAGGGAAGAAAAAAAGAGATGTTACACATGGAAAGAAGTCTAGAGTCTAACACAGAAGAAAAAGGAACTGGAAACAGATTCCAGCATTTAATGTCCCTAGCAGGAAAACCAATCTAGGGTGACTTGCCCTGAAAGAAGTAAAACATCACCAAGCAGAATTTCTTAATGCTGACAAATTGAAGCCAACTAACTGTAGGCAATTTGTGGCTACATGTTCAGTAAAAATGCTTCTCACATCAGTCGTAACACATCTCAAGTTTAAGAATTAGTTCGATACGTGACAATGTCCCCTAGTTCTAGTGAGCTGTGTCTTTAAGTTGGCAGTACTTTTAACACTATGATTAACCTCAGGTTTGCTTTTGATAGCCTCTGTTGTATCCTCTCTGTATACCAGAATCAATTCCATGTTCTGAATTATCAGAATTAAATGGGGCTAATGCTACGACCACTAGCAATCCCAGAGTAATCAAAGAGCCTCGTATCATGGGCTATCAAAAGACAGCAGTAAACTGCATTCCACATTGCAACACACAAGACTTGTTTTTCAAGTTCCTGAGTTACCTTCTATAACCAAGTGAATCTGCTATGAAAATATCCAAGACTTTCCCATTAGCCATTCACAGTAAAAGGCATCTTTGCATTTAATGATTAGATGTCCTTTAATAAATTATTGATGTTAAATATCAGATGCTAATTTCAGACCAACTTTGATTTTTTGATGCCACCATCTATTTCCTTTCTAACACTGCAGCAAACTGCACTCCATAAATCTCTGCACAGGAGCATGGATTTAACTCTTGGGCAAAGCATCTAACCTCTAAGGAGTGAAGCTTTATTCCCAGCAAAAGATTCATGAGGGGAGAATTACATTCTTGCAGTAAACGTTTCATTTACATTGATCCATAGCTGTCATAAGTAATAGTCTCAGAAGTTTCTTAGAGGACTCCTCTCAAATAACTATGAAACTACACTATCAGACATGCTACTTAGTAAATCCCAAATTAAAGTGAAGTATAGCTAACACAGGGTTCTCCCCCCAACTCCCCAATTACATGTATCTGCTCCAAGTATACCATAGCATACTTGTGTACTATATAGAATAAACTCAAGTACTACTTCACCACTAAAGTCTGTGTCCAGTGGCAAGTTTATATGGATCCATTCATCCCCTAGATACTCTGTCAGTCTCTAGAACATGAAACCAAGCGTATGAGTCTATGCATCCAGATGGCTTTGGGGCATTCTTTCACTAAACTGAGAACACAGTCAAGTTTAGAAGAAAATCATTCCCAGCAAGTACGAAGTGAAGATTGCAGCAATCAAAAGGGGACCACAGAAAAATGCATATGCTCCTACAAAGCTCACTATAGCAACCACCTTCCTGCTTGCTCATCTAGCATGCAATGAATCGTGAAATTTTAGAGGATGAGCAAGAACACTGGGTGGTGTTCTGCAACGCAGCTGTTAAGTATCTGTAGGAGATCTTGTTGTCACAAGCAGCACAGGGAAGTAAAGGAAAAGTAAAGCATATTTTGGACATTTCCATGTAAGCTGGTAAGATAGCACAAAGTGTACTCCTGATTCCAGAAACTGGTATTACTGTACTCCACAGCTAGGCTAATCTTCTTCCTACACTAGGAAGTAACATGATATCCTGACTAACCTTTAAATAAACAGGATTCCCAGCTATAACCAGTCTTTAATGTAATAGGCGAGATGGGAAAGGAGGAAGGAAACAAAGCAAGTTATCAGTTGTCATTGTTAAAATCCTATCTAAGCATTCACCACCTTCAGCTGCTAATCAGACTTCATGTCTCACAAGGTTTGGTGCTTGACAGGGACTTGGATCTGGGATATTGCAGAGAAGCTGCCAAGGCTTGTCCTCAGGCTATCACCACTTGCTGCTCACACACCTGGACACCAACCACAATGCACACCCAGAATAAATACAAGACTCTGTAGGCCAAGCTGAAGGACACGAGCATCCATCTGGTTTTCTTCACCTTGCTAAGGAAAATCTAAGACTGAAAGCAAAAGGAAGGCCAAGGAAAGTGTGAGAACAGCTCAACAGGACAGGGCATCAAGTAACAGAGGACACTGAAGAGGCTAAGGTACTGAATAACTTTGCCTCAAGTTTTACTATTAAGGTCTGCACTCTGGCCTTCCTGGTCCCTATGACTAGTGGCATAGTTGGGGGTGGGGAAGGGGCATGAAGCAGCACAACAGAGAAGACAATCGTGTTAGCATCCATAGTACCAAACAGAAGCCGAGGGTCTTGATGGAAATCATGGATGTCATTGCAAGACCAACTCTAGCTCTGAAAGGTCGCAGCCACTGGGGGAAGGTTCCTGGTGACTGGAAGAAACCACCATGCCCATTTTCAAGACCAAGGGGAAGAGACCCTGGGTCCAGTCAGCATAACCTGTCCCCAGAAAGACTATGGGGCAAACTGTCCTGGAAACCACATCCAGGCACCTGAAGAACAAAATCATGACCGGGAACAGCCAGGATTTGCCAAGCTCAAGTCACATTTTATCAACCTGACTACCTTCTGTGACAACAGGCTACAGATGATGTTAGTCAGACTCAGCAAGGCTTCTGACAGTCTCCCATAGTATCTTTAAAATAAAATTGTTAAAATATGGAAAAGTGGACAATAAAGCAGATGGAAAAATCAGGTCAACTGCCAGGCTCAGAGGCTTGTGACCAACTGTACAAAAACTAACTGGCAACTCTCTCCTAGTAGCACTACACAGGGGTCAACGCTGAGGTGATACTTTTAACATCTTTATCAATTGTCTGAACAGTCCACAGCTCATACAGAACTTGGAGAGCAGGTAACACTGGAAGGCAGGGCTGCCGTTCAGAAAGACATACACGACACAACATCGCTGACACGGACTCACTGAAGTTCAACACAGGCAAATGCAAAGTACTGCACCTGGCACAACACCAGGTATCAGTACAGGCTGGTGACCAGCTGGCTAGGTTCCAGTTTGGCACAACAGGCCTCTAGGGTCTGTAATTTAAGCATAGGTCAGCAGTGAGCCCTTACTGCAAACAAGGCAAACTATGCTGAACAGTTTCAAACAGAGCATAACCAGGAGGTTGCTGAAGTGCTTATTCCCCTCTGTTTGCTACTTTTAAAACTCCACTGGAGTACAACACTCAGTTTGTAGCTGCCCTGTAGAACTCATTTGTCACAGTGAAGCAAGTCCAGCAAAGGCCACCGGAGGGTATATACAACCTTAGGAAGAGAGGGTGAAGAGAGAAATTTTAGAGCTGTCTCTATCTTCACTATACTCCCCACTAGGTAGTTGGAACTGGACTCTTCTTTCTGTCTAGTGAGCAAGTCAATAGGCAAGTCACATAAAGGGAAATTCTGTGAAGTGTGTGTGTGGGAAGTGTATCAATGTTTAAACACCCTCACTTTGAAAGGACTACCCAAAGTTTGTGCAATCTCTATTCTTAGAGACACGTAAAACTTGTTGGGGCAGAACCCTAAGCAAGATTCAAGATAGCCTCTGAGTGAAGAGGTGGATCAGATAACTTGAGCTACCTTCCAGCTCCACAGCTACCTCATGACTCTTCCACAATAGACACCTTCAGAGCACTGCATATTCAATGCATTTACTAGACATACTGAAAGCACACACAGTAGGAGTCAGTGCTTCTGCCTTACATTAATTCTTCTCTGACTACAAGAACAAAATGAAACTAACATCATAAGTGGAAAAAGCACGTATTAGGAGTTCTTTCCAAACAGAACTATATATATATAAACCAGACTTCCATCTTCTAAGGAGCACCAAAGATGAAAGCCTCATAGCTGAATGCAACAATTGAGCAGTTTTGATAACTTCAACCATCTTACCTTCCTTAGCAGTACCCAAGAACTTCTGCAATTATTGCCCCAATGTTGATTTTATTTTCAGATAACTGCTGTAAATATGTTCCAACTCCTACTATACTTGCTAACTGAAATAAATTATTAAAGACT